CTCATGGCGCAGGTATATTCTGTCGTGCAAATTGTGCGACATTGTGTACTGCAAATGCAAGCTCGGTGAGTGATAGCTAGTGTAATGAAAGAGTATAATGTACACGTCACGCACACGTGATGACGTAATACCAACATCCATGCGAACGAAATAGGAGAGGATCAAACACGTGTATAAGAACTTATGCGACAACCTAATACTAGTCTATGAATGAAAGCCAATATGATGCATGCTGGGCTTGATAGGGAGCTGCGGTTTTGATTGCTGAAGAAAAAAAGAACTAGATAGTTGCGGAGGTCTTGTGTTGAACTATTAGAGGGACATGCAAGCATAGCTAAAACAACAAAAATACGTGACAACTATCCACACCAGTTGGCCAAGGTGCCTCGTTCCAAAGGAAGTCATCGGTACATGCCAGCACTTCGGAACACGGGTACACCAACATCCCACGTGGAACTGACATGCTGGATAGAAGCAAACAAGACGACAAACTTCATTTGGCTTGCAGGCAACTCTAAGCTCTCTAGCACAAGCATTTAGATGAACGAAAGTGAGAAGCAGTGAGTAATCCATTCCATCCCAGTCCAAGCTGGCACCATACTGACAAAAACAAGGCAGAAAAATGACCACACTGTGACTACGACAGACAGAAACGCGAAACCATACTTTGAGAAGCAACACCACAACACTCTCCAATAAAAATAAGGTAAAAAGGGGCACAATGTAAAGCTTGCTCCACATTTGGACGTAATTGCATAAAGCGAGGTGAACCTTGCAGACGGACCTCATTGTGGCTATCTGAATAGATTATTTGGAACTTCGGAATTCAACAGATCCCCAGTACCAATTTTTTTTCTATTTTTTTCTTTAATACCTTACCATTTTCGGAACGAAGTAATTCAAGTGGAAGCTTCTCCAGCGTTCGAGCCATTAGACAAAAGTATGAGTTAAACATAAGAGAATAGAATTTCTTATGAATTTTCTGATCTCTTGAAGAAAGAATACGAAAAGCAATACAAAAAAATACGGACGGGAAAACTTTTGACATAAAGAAACGTCTGAAAACTCGGCGTCTGGATTAATACAGTAGCATGCGTCTTTCAGTGCATCAAGCTTTTGTACAACGAAACTTGCATCACTCCTAGTTTTTATGCGTTTCGTCTTTTAAAATGGGTCTCATCAACAAAATATTATGAAGAAGAACAGAACTACTTAATTATTTATTCATCTATTACACTGTAGGTGGGCACACGAAGATATCTCAGAAAACACGTGACAAGGACTATGGCGAAAGCTTAATGGCACGAGGCAGTCAGCAAAAATTACATGCTATTCCGATTAACAGCCGGCGCCTCGACAGAGAACAGTCGAACTCTCCGTCAGAGGGCATATAGCAAGTGGCCTTTCCAACCGAGCAGGCGTTAGAAATTAAGAACGTAAGAAAGAAAATAAAATTTGCAGATTTAGAAGCACCCTCCTCGCTCGCTGTGGAGTTCCGAGAGCGGGGGACCGTCTCTTATCTTGAGGGCTGGACTACATTTGCACAGGCACAGGGAAGAAGCCAGTGAATCGTTTGAATGCGAAGGCCGTCACGTCAACGTCAACGCGGAGCGGACAGAAAATTGCTTTTGAGTGTCTCCAACTTCTCTCTTCGTAGAACCTCGGCATTGTTGTAAATATGATGTTCTATTACTTCTGCGTCAACGAGGTTTGTAGGTGGAACTTTATTTACGGCCTAACGTTTCGACCAGATCGTCGTCCTCAGAGGCCTAAACGTAGCTCAAGATTTTTAATTTGCTCTCTACACCGCCAAACGCCTCGTCTCCAGCGTTTCCGACGGTACTTCCAGAAACAACCGAAAAACCACCCGTAGGCAAAACATACCAAGTCCACCGCGGCATGAGCGGATCAACGCCGCTCCACGAGATGTTAGTAAAGTAAGTAAGTACAAGGACGCACAGTGAGTCTCACTTGCATGGTGAAGTCGCAGTAATCGAAGATGGGCATTGCGAGACGGCGGACGAAATAGGGGAGTACGAAAAGACTGAGGAAGTTGCAGTGAATGCAACATGAGACGATGTGGAGTCCGTCACGTCAACTCATCTATAGAGAGCGGAGGGTGACACGTTCTTAAGTGATACTGATAATAAAGCAGAAGAGTCCTCAGGTGATGACGACGATTCTAATGAAGAAGATGAGGAAGGTGATGAATTCGAAGAAGTAGAAAAAGATGAGGATGTGATTCAAACGATGCCAATAAGGTATGTTATATTGCCACCACCTCCGTATTAATCTATGGATCCGATCTATTTTCTTCAATCCAGCTTCAAGATATGAAACAAAACTACCACACCTTTTCAGTGGTCAAATGGAGCAAAGCGCCGTGCCCAAGAAGAAGCTCAGGGAGATGATTTCTAGATGCCACAAACTTTTATCTCTCTTCCTTTCTCCCAATACTTTTCTTGTGTATTCGAGCTCATCTACAGTAATTGCTTTTCGACTACGATCGACATTTATATCGATGTCCACGATAATGTCCAGATTTCCAGCCTTGTCACCATAGTCTGGAGCTTAACTTGTTGGGATCAATAGGAAAAAACGAGCGTGTTATGAGAAGCAGTGATAGTTGAAAAGTACCTGCACATTCTCCGTATCTTAGGAGAATTCTGGCATGGCGGCCCCTGATTGGAGCTCCCTGCTTGCTCACACGCTAAAGGGGCATGGCCAAATGAGCGAGCTACAGTTGTGAGTCGGACTCCACCTAAGTGGCGAGCTTAGATTAAACCTTAAAATGAAATCTAAGTGCTATCTATATTTAGCTAAGAACACCATTTAAAACGAGTGTGTGCCTTGTAATTCAGCGACGATCAACAAAAAGGATTCTGAACGACTACAAGGTCCCCCTTATTTCCGACGCAACCTATTCGATGTTCTCGGTTCACATGAAAAGAAGTCTCTACCTAGGTGAGAAGGAGCTTCGAAGGATCGCAACTATGAATATTTGAATAATTACTATTAATCAAAGAAAATCAGTTGACTGACTTAGAATAAGTGGTGGGATAATTTGTTGGAAGGAGAGCAGTGGCGTGATTCTTACAGTTTTTAACGCAAGCTGGGCTTCAGTGTAACCAAACGTGCTCATCTCGCTTCAGCTCACTTGTAGCAGAGGCATGTCGCAGTTTCAACACTTTTTGGTCGTGCAGTAAACCCTTTGCAAGAGTGCGGCAGCTTCCGCGAAGTCTGGAGGCGAAACCCTGGGTGCGATTCCACCCACCCCCTCCCTCATCCGCTTCGTCGGTCACTTGACCGCGGATCGCCACTGCGAGCTGCGGCGGAGCCAGCATCATGGCTTGGAATTCGATCAGATCCGTACGACCCCGACTCCCCTCCCCCCCCTATCTAGCGTCCCATCATCAAATTCATCGAGTCGATGGCCGTTCGAGGCGCGTTTCAACTTAGCCGGGCACGACCGCTTCTGCGAACGTCCATGAGCGAGAAAAATCAGCTTAGAACAAATTTTCTCGGACTCATATACGACCCTCGCCTCTCGCGCCAATATGACCGCGCTCCCCTGTTGGACTCCCCTAACAAGGAGAGTTCTCTGCTGTGCTTAGTTCCTTGAGAATAAGCAGCAGTAAGAACATTTATTGGAAATCAGTAGTGAAATCAAACAGTAGAAAAATAACCCGTAAATATACTCCATCTGCCCGGCTCCAGAAAAGGTCGAGTCAAACCAGGCAGACCCTAGTACATCACAAGATCAAATAGCTACATGTAATAGATCACAGTGTCCCCAACACCTCCCCCCTAAGATTGACGGGTACCGTACGATTTGGCGTACGGGTCAATCTGAAGAAATTCTGGAGGGCGACGAGTGCGGCTCGATTGTCGTCTGGGAACGGCAGGAGGCACTGTAGTCGTTGTCGTTGTTGTTGTTGTTGTTGGAGTGGCAGTGACCATTGAAGACTGAGGCGTTGTACAAGTCGTCGTCGTTGATGAAGGCGATGTGGCGTTGAATGGTATGTCGAATGCGTCAAATGGTAAGTCGAAGGCGCACATCAGCTCTTGTGTAGCTTCCGTCGATGCACGTGGAATTAGCTGGTTGGCGTGGCGTCTCCATATGAATCCATTGACTTGAACGTCGTACACAGTGCGTCCACGTCGGCATAGGATCCGTCCTTGAGTCCATTTGGATTGTCCGGATCTGTAAGTCACGAGCGTAGACCTAATCTCCAGGTTGAAACGTCCTGTGTTTGGCTCCATATTGACGGTTGAACTGCTTTTCCATTTTCGTGTCCGCAACAGGTTCTTCCTTGTTGTCTGGCTTTAGCAAGATCCAGCTTGTTGCGAAGGCGTCTTCCGAGGAAGTTTTCTGCGGGACACCTTCCGTTGGGAGAAGCGGTGCAAGGCGTATTCCGGTATGTGAAGAGGAATGTCTGGAGAGCTTCGTCGGTCAGTCCGTGCTTCTTCAGCTTCCTGAGCGTGCGCTTAAATGTGTCCACGAAGCGCTCAGCTTGTCCATTGGATTGAGGGTGGAATGGCGGTGACCGGGTATGTCTGATTCCTTTCTTCTTGCAAAATTCCTGGAACTGCGCAGCAAGTAAACGAGTTTCTCATTATCTGAGACATGACAGCAGGAATCCGATTGTGCGAACAGGCGACGGAGGTTCCCTTGGTTGTGGCGGCGCTGGTGGTAGAAGTCATGGAGATGACTTCGGGCCATTTGGAGAACGCGTCGACGACCACCAGGTACGACATTCCATTGATTGGGGCCCGGCAAAGTCGATGTGGATCCGGCTCCATGGCGCATCCGAACGGGGCCAAGAACAGAGCGTGTTCTTGACGGGAGACTTGGCGGCTTCCTGGCAATCGTTGCACGCACGGACGTTTCAGGACCGAGTTTCTCCACATCCTCGTTGATTCTCGTCCAGAAGACATATTGACGAGCGAGGGCTTTCATTCGGTTAACTCCTGGATGTCCCTCGTGTAGCATTTTCAGGACAGACGGCTGGAGTGATGGCGGTATGACGATGCGGCTTCCGAAGAGCAGGCATCCTTGTTGTGCCGAGAGTTCGTTGCGTAGGTGGGCGTATCTCGCAACTGTTGGCGATGGTCTCTTCGGCCAGCTGTTGTGGGCGATATGGTCCATGACTTGGCGGAGACAGTCGTCTGCAGCAGTCGAGTAGGCAACCTCCTTGGCAGTGACTGGTAAACGGCTCACGTTCTCGGCGAAGATGGCGTTCACGTCTTTGGTGATACTGGCAATGATAACGTCTTCTTCTGGTGGCGATTGCATGGCGATGAGACGAGACAGTGCGTCGGCTTGTCCGAAGCTAGCAGTGTTTCGGTACTCGATGTCGAAGTCGTAGGCGAGCATTGTAAGTCTCCATCGTTGCAGTCGGTTCGCGGAGTAGGCCGGAACTCCCTTCTTTGATCCGAATATTGCCAGAAGTGGCTTGTGGTCCGTTAGCAAGGTGAAGCGGCGCCCGTAGATATAGCGATGGAATTTCCGGACGGCATAGACTAGCGCGAGACCTTCTTTTTCCACTTGGCCATAATTCTTCTCAGCCGTGGTGAGAGAGCGACTGGCGTGGTAGACCGCTTTCTCTGTTCCGTCTTGATAGCGATGTGAAATAACTGCTCCGATCCCGTAGTCTGAAGCGTCGGCCGCGACGAGATGGGCAGACGTTCGGGTCGTAGTGAGCCATTGGCCGCCGTGTCGAAAGCGGCTTCGCAATTCGGAGGCCAGTTTGAACGAGCTTCCATTCTTGAAGTAGTGACGTCCCGAGCGGTGGCGGAACTGGCGCACTCTACCGGAAACAAATGCTCCGTAGTGGTTAAGAGTCGAGAATGACCGGAAGCCCTAGGCGTACCCTTCAGGGTTTGGCATCTAGATATAGCGGTCGATTCTCTTTGAATCGGTGTCGGCGTCCGCTGAGTGTGTCATCACGAAGTGGCACTTGTTGATGCGGACGCGGAAGCCGTAGTTGGATATCCTTGAAAATAGGGCTTCCAGATTGGCGTTGTGCTCGGAGAGGTTGCAGCCGGTGACGATGACATCGTAGGCAGCAACGCTGTTGAGTCCAGCGATCATGGAGTCTATGATCTGCTGGAAGATGCCAGGAGCTGACTTGACTTCGAACGGCAGACGATTGTATCTGTAGATCCTCTGTGCGTGTTGATGGTGAGGAGCTCTCTGGAGTCGTCATCGACTTCGACCTGTAGATAAGCGTCGGCGAAGTCGATTTGTGAAAAGACGGTTCCGCCATTGAGCTTTGTGAAAACATCCTCCGCGTAGTATGGATGCTCATGCAACAGCAATGCGTCGTTGAGTCCCGTCGAGAAATCGGCGCAAAAGTCGAATGGTACCATTGGCCTTTCTCACAACGACGATTGGCGCAGCCCATCGAGAGTGATCGACGGCGGAGATGACGTCCTGTGCCATGAGACGGTCGATCTCGGCCGTTCGACAGAGCGTATGGAAGGCGTAACGGGAAAGCCGTCTCTTCTTGATGAAGACTGGGCGAGCATCGGGCTTGAGGTAGAGTGTCGCCTTGGTCTTGGTGCAGTATCCAAGTCCGGGCTCGAAGACATCCATGAATTGGTGCTTCAGCTTGGCGATCGTTTGTTCTCGGAGAGCCTCAGTGTTCACTGTTTGAACCTTCTGCACGTTGAATCTCCTCTAAAACGTGGTCGAAGTCTGGAATCTGCTCGATCCATGTGATGCCGAGAAGGTCGTTGTCGTCGGAGACATAGCAGGTGCCATGTCCGGGATAAGCCTTCCCTCGATTGTCCATGACCACGAAAGCGGCTTCGAAGCTTCCGTGAATTGGTAGTGGGGATCCATTGGCTCCTTTGAAGACGTCGGAGGTCTTCTGTAGGTGAGGGCTTCCGAGCTGCATCCAAGTGGAAAGAAATGATGGTGACATCGACGTCCGGTGTCCAATCTGGGGCGCAGCGGTGGGAATGTCCGTTAATGTGAACTTCCAGGTACTTCTGGACATCTCCTGGACGGCCGATGACGCGTTGGTACCAGGTGCGCGGTGATGACTGCTTGATGCGACGTCGTGGCGCAGTCCTTGACTCCTGGGTGGCACTGGTAGCGTGGCGGTTTTCTGAACAGTCCTTCTTCCAATGTTGCTGGCTGGCAGATTGGACACGGTGAGGGTGGCAGTGATGATTTGGTTGGGCGAAGCAGACGGTGCTTTCTCCTCTTCTGAACAGCATGGATTTCTTGTGAACTGACGGTTTCGACGATTCTGGAGTCATCTTTGACCGGATCGATTTTCAGATAGGTAATTCCTTGCAAATCGTCGATGGTGTCTTGTCGTCTTCGTCCAGCTGCGCAGGGAAGCGACGAGGAGTCAGCGAGCTCCGGAGCTTGGAAGGCGAAAACCAGAATCAGGCATTCCAGAGTCTCTTGCCTGATTTCCTTGAAACTTGGCTTCCATGGCGCGAGCCTTCAGCGAGTTGACGAAGGTATCGATGTCTTCGTTCGGCGAGAAGTTCATCCGGAAGCATTCAAAGCGACGGCGGAAGAGACTTTTCTTGGTTCCGAAACAGTGTCTTTAGAGCATCGAGCGTTTCCGTCCAGTTCAGGTCTCCGGGCTCCTTGGGAAGGATGTGGCGCACGAAGCGTGTGTGGCTTGTAGCGTCAGTGCAGAAACGAAGGCGAACTCCCTCATATCTCTTCCATTCCTGGCAGTCGACCTCGAAAAATGTCCTTGTGCCTGCTGAACCACATGTTGAAGCAGTCGTCTTGATCGGCGTCGTACGAGAACTTGTCGATCCTCCTTGTCATTCGGTCGAAGATAGATTCTTGCGGCGTGGTTGTGGGCGATGACATCTTCTGAAGCAGGTCGATGAGGAGCTTCTGCTGGGTGGCCATCATCTGCACTAGATCCTTGAGTGGCGCTTCTTCTGACATCATTGTGGCGGCGGTGTTGTCCTCGAAGTCCTTGTCCTGATCGCCAGTTGTTGTGTCCTTGAGAAATCAGCAGCAGTAGAATATTTATTGGAAGACAGTAGTATATCAACATAGAAAATAACCCGTATATATACTCCTCTGCCTGGTCAAAAGATCGAGTCAAACCAGGCAGACCTAGTACAACAACAAAGATCAAATACCTACATGTAATAGATCACAGTGTCCCCAACAGGCTGCGGGCCCATCTCTCAAAGCAACAGGACAGCGGACAAGGACAGGATTTATGGAATTGAGTGGAAAGGTTTATTGGTGTGTTTCTGACCAATTTGGCACAATAGTTGGTCATGCCGGGTTACTGCCTACTTGATTGGCGTATCCCTTTTCTCTAGCTGATCAAGGAAGGAGCGCGCGCGATGAGGAAAGCAGAAATAGCCCATTTCCTACCACGTGGTGCCCCTTTGGAATGGACGCTCACAACTTCAAGTGGATCGTTATTGGACTAGCTCGCTTAGGGACCAACATCTATATCGACCCACATGGAACATGTCGTGGAACGCTCTGATTCATGGTAAGCAAGAGGGTAAATGCTAGGTACTTTTCTGTAATAATGGAATATGTTTGCTTCTCTGTTTTTGATTCTTTCGGTGAAGCATTCTCAACATCGTCATTCTGAAAGCGGCTTTAGATGGTTAGCACCGGCCGATACGCCAGGAGATCCTTCGTGAATCCGAAAGGATTCAACGCGGGCACACATCAGACATATCCCGTACACTTCCATTGACTAACACTTCAAAAGTTGTTGGTCTATTCCGCATCACATTGATCCGGCCAGAAAAGATACTTCTTTCTTCTTTTTTCTTCTCCCTAGCGTTAGTCCCGCGCCGTCGCAGGGTCCGCTGATCTTGTTAGACGTCACTACTTGCCACTGCATCTTCAAAAGAAGTGTCGCGACCGGGTGGAAGAGTGGTGTAAGGAGAACGTTTGTGTGTTCGGTTTGTCGGTCTGTCGATATGTATGTGTGTATGTATGTATGTGAGTACGTATGTTTGTCCATGGGATTCGACATGTAACTCGAAGGAGAAAACGACCGCTAGCAAACCTAGGAACCTTTCGGTGCAGATGTATCAATCCATTATTTTGATTGCGATAACACCCCATATAGAAACCACAGAGTAACAGTCCGACCATGCACGGCTGCTACGCAGTAGCAGATGGGCATGGGTGGCAGTGGGGACGGTGGGGTAGGTAATGGAGCATTGTTTGGGGCTATGGGGAAGATCCGGTACGTGCGAGGGGGGGGAGACGAAGGAAGGGGTAAGGGGGAGGCGGGAGTGCGGTTACTGGGCTGCTCGCCTGGCAGCTGAAAGTGGGTGCAGTGGGGCAGGGTAGAGGATCATCAGGGTTTAGGGCATAAGGAAGACGATAGGGCGAGGGGAGGGGGACGAGAAATTGGTAGAGCGAGGGGAGTGGGATGACTGGGCTGCTCGCTCAGCAGCTGAACGCTGGTGCAGTGGGACAGGGTGGGGAAGGCATAGGCGAGGGGTCATGCGGACGATGTAGCTTCAAGGAAAGTGAATTAACCGGAGAGGACGGGGAGGGGGCTTGGAGGGCGCTCCAACAGCAGCACACCATAATGTTGGAAAGAGAAGCATTTGTGAAAGCGACAAATAGAAGAAAGGAAGGATCAACCGCTAGCAAAGTTATAAGCCAATATGTAATGTGCTATCAGTTTCAGGTAGAATTTCGAATACGAGCCATTGCACGGCTACTGTGTCGCGAGTGACCGCAGAGCGGGGAGCGATTTCACGTCCAAGTGCTGACAGGGCAGGAAGTTAGCGGGCGAGGGAACAAGGGATGGGCCTTAAGGTCCGGAGACGGGTGAAGAAATGGGGGAAATAAGGGGAGGGACGACCTGTGAGGTAAAGCTTCAGCAAGCAGACACCACTACTGGGGGGGCACAAAAGCATTTAGGGAAAGCGTATAGTCGAGAAAGAAAATGAGGTCCAACTGCCATCAGAATCAGACCAATCCATATTGTGTTATCAATTTAAGGTAATATAGCGAATGTGATTAGACATTGCACTATATAAAACACCCATTTGGTGTATCCCGAGCCATTGCACAAGCTCGCGACGCAGCTCGACGTGAGCGCGTGGATGGATCAGCATAGGGAAGAGATTGAGGCACTGAGGGAGAGAGGTTAGTGTTTAGTACTTAACTGGGAAGGCGTAGAGTTGTTAACAATGAGGCGCTACCGCTACTTACTGAAAGCATTTGGTTAGCGGAAAGTCTAAGGATCCACTGGCAAAGCAGAGTTGCTAACCAATTTCCATGCGTGGTATCAACCGATTAACTGTTTAAAAATGTGATATCAACCCTTTTTAACGTTTAGGAGTGACGAAAACGCAAATCCGGTACATGAAATGTCACAACTAACGTATGCTAGCTATAATTAATTAAGCATTTCAATATCTGTCAACATGACTGAATGGATTTGCATGGTAGTAGAAAAGGTGAATGTAGATTGGTAGCTGTTCAGACAAGGTAATGGATGGGTTATTTGCGCTTTTGCTGAGCAACTCATATTACGTTCTATTGAACGACGACACTCTCTATCTGAATCTATAAATCTATGTATGGCATGGGCCCTATATCCCGAACCTCCACCCGAACGCTGGCGAACAAGCAGTGGACTCACAATTCGCTGGGTTGCTCCGATAACGATAATCGTTCAATGGCAGTGGCAAATGTACAGCATGCGGAGCCGGGCTAAAGAGAAGGAGGAGAGCTCGGCGTGAACCGTGCGATCCGACTGGTAGTACTAAACAGGTAGAGGGGGATCGGGCGAACAAAGAGCAACGAGGAGCAGCAAAGAAATAGGCTAAGTTTCAAGATAAGACTATGGCTGTCGAGCCCACCGCAAACCTTCCTCAGGTATTCAAGCTGGAGCGACATTCTGGGGAATTGTAGGGGACGTCATCCGTGTTCAAAAATTTTGACTGAGCGTGTCACTACAAGTCACAGGTGACAGATACGTGGAGTGCAGCAATGAAGAAAGAAGTCAAAAAAAGTAGTCATATCTTTTTCACCTATCTCACCACTCGACCTGGAGAGAGTTGGTAGCAGAAACCCTTCAGGAATAGATGAATGGTGTTACATCGGGAAAGTGGACGGGGCGTCGCATCCGTCACGGAACAGAGGAATCGCCGCTCATCATCACACAATTCTGAGTTGGAATTATTAGGTTGTCCGGAAAGTTCTTAGCGTTTTGTGCACCTAATCTTTGTACATTCACTGCTGATTAAAAACTCATTCTGCCTTGCTTCTCAGTAGCACATCCTGTAGAGAATTTCTTGCGCTATCTGATGGTATAATTGCCTTTTCACCATTGCTTGATAAATCCCTCTTTTTCAAGATTTTTTCAAGCATGTGAAAAGAGCACTTCGGACGATTTTTTTCTTCGGCTATAAATTGGGGCAATCCGCAATCGAAACAGCTCAACAATTAACCAGGTGTGGAGGCCCAATAGTGCTAGAGAAAGCACTGTGCCGCAATGGCTCAACAAATGTCGTTCTGGAAATTTCAGCCTTGAAGGTGAGCCTCATAGCGGTCGACCTAAAGCAATATCTGACGAGGATTTTAGGGGGATTTTGAAGGTTGACCCATCCCAAACAGTTCGAGAGATAGCAGAAGAGCTAGGCCTTGGCAAATCCACTGTTGCAGATGGTCTGGAACGCATTGGAAGGTGAAAAAAACTCGACAATTAGGTGCCCCAACAATCGGAGTGACCGCAGGAATCGGCACGTCTCGAGGTTCCTTCTTCACTGCTTTTGCGCAAAAGAATTGACCCGTTTTTGAACGGATTTGTCACCTGTGATGAAAAATGGATCATGTATGATAACAGGAGACGTTCCGGACAGTGGTTGGATTTGGAGGAACCAC